AAACCCTTAGAGAAGATAGTGCTCTCCTATTGCTTAAATTTTTTAAAACTATCCAATATAGACTTTCTTTTCTTTTCCTTTTCAATTCTTGGTTCCTAACACATCTGTTAAGAAGTGGACTTTAAGCCTAATTAAATCTCAAAAGATCGGCTTGTAAGATGAGGTTTGCATCCACTTATATATTGTAAATTGGTTTTATCTTTAGTTGATGTAGGACTTCCAAGACACCTCCCTCACATCGAGGCATATACATCTCGAACGTAATGAGTGGTGCGATAGCGGCCCAATAGTGGGTAGAACAATATACCTAACAAATAACAAATTTTGCTAGGATAGGCTTTAACCCATGGCTGTGATACCATATTATGCAATAGATTTTAAGCCTAACTTAACCTCACAAAACCGACTTTTAAGGTGAGGTTTGCAGCTACTTATATATATTGTAAATTGACCTCATATTTGGTCAATGTGGGAATTCCAAACACAACCACCCATTCAAAAGGCTACAAGAAAATTTCTTATACTCAAACAAAAACTATTAGTTATTTGAATAAAGATAAAATATATACTTAATTACAAGGTAGTCAAAATCGTGTTTTGAAGTGGCATTCCTTGTGTGTGTGTGTGATAGGATATGTAATGTATTTGACAGTTTGTAGACAATTGTTAGATAGTTTGGAAAAAATAAAAAATAGAAGTTAGTATGAAGTGGTTAGGGGTAGTTAGGAGGAGTTTAAACAGCAATTAGGGGAAGTTTTAATTAGTAGTTAGGCAGTTTTTGTCTTTTAAGGAGGGGGGTGTTCTAGTTCTGTGGGTGGAGTGTATTTTGTTTCAGAAAAGGGCTTGTCCTGTGTAGAAGGGAAATTCTTCCCTTGGAAGATGTTGGATGTTTTCTTGTATTATGTTTTTCAGAATTAGAGTGTTAAATACATTGTGCAGTAAGATTTGAGTGCTTATTTCTTTACTGAATCTGAAAATTTGGTTTCTTGTTCCCAAGAAACCTAACAATTTGGTCCGACCTGTCGGATCAGTCAAACACCATGGAAAGTAGTGTGAGTGCATTACAGAGAGCTTTTGAGGAGAATGGAGAGGAAACTAGGGCCAACTTTCAAAGGTTCGAAGATATGATGAAGGATATCTTGCAAAGACTCAAGAACATGGAAAGAGAATCAGATGGAAGTAGAGGTTCTGTGAATGGAGATAGAGTGGGAAGAAGAGAAAAGGATATCAGTGAAGAGGAAGGTGGAGACCAAGACTGTGATGGGAATGTTGTGACTCTTGCTTCTTAGAATGAAGTGCAAAAGTTGCTGGTTTTAGTGGGGATAGTGTGGTAGGTCTTGGTGAATATGTCAAAACAGTGAAGGAGGGTGAAGACAAAGGAAAGAAGGCTGAATGTGGTGGGAACATTGTAACCATTACTTCTGGGAGTAAAGTAAAAGATGAGGTTGTTTTGAGTGTAGATGGTTCAAAGGTAGTTGGTGCTGGGACAAAAAATGTTTTTGAAGTCCAGAACATCACAGGAGCAGTAGAAGTACACCTAACCATCAATAACATGGGAAAAAATGCAGTCAAGGGGTTCAATACCTAGCAACAGAAATCTCATAACCTTTCTTGGGAAGATCTTGCAACACTTAAACTAAGGATAGTTGAAGGGAACAAGGGAAACATGTTATTGGAGACTTTGGCAGCAGTAACACAGATTGGGAGTGTGGAAATTTTATGTGAGAGGATGGCAGCAGTAACAAGGACAGGGAGGGGGGAAAAAGTCATCCAAGAATTCAAGATATTGGTGTCTCTTGTAAACCCAACATCAGAAAACTAGTTGGGGGAGTATTTCTTGACAAAGTGGCAGGCCCTATGCAAGAAGGACAATAAAGTTGGACAATCTCCCTTTTGTCTTGGGTTACTTATTTGTTATGGAAATCGATTGCTAGCAAACTCCAGTAATAAACTTATTGATTTTGGAAGCCGAGTCAGATTGTTTATTAAGCATCTATTTGGAAAAGATTATGTTGTCAAAGTTAGATCTTTGCAGATTCAAGGATTAATCCAACGGCCAAAAGGAAGCCTTGAGGCAGTCACATTGGAATTGGTCGCAACGATTAAGGACCAGTTTCTAGACTACAACCTTGAGGACAAGGTTGTTTTGTGGCGGCGAGTAATGATAGGATATGTAATGTATTTGACTGTTTGTACACAATTGTTAGATAGTTTGGAAAAAATAAAACATAAAAGTTAGTATGAAGTGGTTAGGGGTAGTTAGGAGGAGTTTAAACAACAGTTAGGGGAAGTTTTAATTAGTAGTTAGGCATTTTTTGTCTTTTAAGGAGGGGGGTGTTCTAGTCCTGTGGGTGGAGTGTATTTTGTTTCAGAACAGGGCTTGTCCTGTGTAGAAGGGAACTTCTTCCCTTGGAAGCTGTTGGATGTTTTCTTGTATTATGTTTTTCAGAATTAGAGTGTTAAATACATTGTGTAGTAGGATTTGAGTGCTTATTTCTTTACTGAATCTGAAAATTTGGTTTCTTGTTCCGAAGAAACCTAACAGTGTGGGAGTTACGTACCTCATGCGATCGGGACCAATGTTCCTTGCAAGCATGGAACTAGTGTTTGATGTAGCAGTCCTCATGGCCTTCTGAGAGGAATAGTTATAGTGCCTTTTTCGAGTAAGAGCCAAATCCTCTAATGTTACAATGTAAAGTATAAATCTAATGGCACACTAGAATGTTACAATGTAAGCTTAGTTGCTAAAGGATTTACTCAGACATTTTCTCCAATGGAAAACACGAATATAGTTAGTATCATTCTCTCATTTGCAAGTTATTTGGGTTGGGAATTATAACAATTTGATGTAAAAAATGCTTTCTTGCATGGAGAATTGAGGAAGAGGTTTGCATGGAAATTCCCCCAGCTTTTACGCCTATTAATGAAGGGAATAAAGTATGTAGGTTGAAGAAAGTGTTGTATGGACTCATGCAGTCACCACATGCTTGGTTTGGTTCAACTTACTCAAGTTATGATCTCCATGGGATATCGATAGAGTCAAGATGGATAGTGGCCTTATCACTACTTCCTACGTCCCATCTAGGCTTTAGCCACCTGATTTTTTTACAAAAGTCTTTCCATTGAGCAATTTCATGACCACACATGCAAGTTGGGAATGATAGGTATCATATCACCATCTTGAGGGATAGTGTTGTACGTAAGATATTAAATGCATTACCAGAAGTTAATAGAATATTAAATGTATTACTATAAGCTAATAGAAGTTATTAGAAGTTGTTAGAAGATTCTAGAGATCTGAAGATATATTACTTTAGGGTTAGAGGTCCCTATATATAGAGACTATGTACTGTTTCAAAGGAATCAATTTGAATAAAAATCTTCTTTCTTTCATATTAATCCTTTCAAGTCCTTTCAATGTGGCAAAGGGTGAAGAATTCAATATTTGGTTTTCTAGCATGGCCTTGAATTTAAAAATCCATTCTGTCATGTGATTAGAGTCAAATATTTGAAGGACGAAGTGAAAAATACATCACTTACTTTTTAAGCACATAGGGATGACTCAGAAAAATAGGAAGCACAATTATGATTGATAACGGGACTTATAAGAAAAGAAAGACAATAATAAACATCCTAGTGAACAATTCAAAGGGAATTATGTTTTTAAAGTTCATAGATGCATCTGCAATATCCAAAGCAATTGAAAAAACTTGAGTAGATCGATAGCATCATTCAAGAGGAGGGGGAATAGAATGATGGTCATTTTGTGACAGATAATGTGGCAAACTACAAAATTGTCGGTCAAATGTTGGGCGATTTAAAATGAAAACAGAAAACTAACTAAATGTAATATAGCTTAGTTTCATAGGCTTTTACACGATGCAGGCTATTTCCTTAACCATCAAAGCAACTAATGTTCTTGATTTAAAGCTAATTTGGAATCGAAACAAGGTCTAAAGAAATATATAATAAGGATGGTGAAGAATGAGAATGAAAATACTTTGATTGATGTTCAAATTGATGATTTCAAAAATCCAGCTATATACATTTGTTGTCCCTTGGATAATAAGTCAATTAATTTATAGACTCTAGTAGATGGGTGGTGGTTTTATAGTGATGAGCTCTAGAACTCCCAAAATTTGTCATTCACGTATTGAACTTAACATGTAGTTCCTTCGGATGTCAGGGTGTTTGATCTTCCTTTGAGATGGTAAGTTAAATTTAATTCTAGAATAAAATTTCTAGCTTACTACTTGCTTATCAATAAATGATGTTGTTTCTGAAGGGTAATTCAAAACTTGCAAAAAAAGAAGCAAACAACAAGTTCAAAATAACATTGATGATTTTCCATCCAATGATGAAAGGATTATGGAAGATGAGCATGTATTAGGTTTGGAAGTAGACAGCATGGATTTGGATGAAAATTGAGCTCTAGTACCAAGTTGAGGAGGGTGAAACTATAGACAAACATGGTTTAGAGAATAGAGTTAAATGGTGAAGTGGGTGGAATTACGAAGAAATGAGTTGAAGGTCACTTGCAATTATGATTTTAACTTGCAAGATTATTTGCCTTAGATGGATTATTGTTTTGCTACTAGAATAGTATTCCCATTTGGAAATAGGATGGAGCTATCGGTTTTGTAACTAGGAAGGCGTCACTCTTACATAACTAAGATGGGGCATTTACATCTATTGACTTAGTGTTTTATGTTTATCAAATTGTTTTTTGTTTGTCATGTTGAATTAAAGTTCAAATACCAATTTCAAGTGAGATATAACGATATAGTGTGTGCATATATGGATTTCATAAATTTTCTAGGATCTTACTATCCATGTTACAATCACCAATTTAGAATCCATACTTTCATTTCCAATCTTAAGTAAGATCTCAATTTTGACTACATTGCCTAACTAATTTGTCAAAGCAAAAGAAGACCAATAATTTAAAGTGAATAATAATCAACGTGATCGATAAGAACATCAAGCATATCACTACTAACCAAGGATAGATAATCCTATCGAGAGATCGGCCAAAGAATGTGAATGACCATGTCCAAGACTAACATCATGGTGATGATCTTCATGGTTATCATGGGAATGAGAGTGTTCTCCACCTACAGTAAAAGAATCATATCATGTCGAAGAATAATAATATTTTACACAAAAAATATTACAAAGAGAAAGGGACAGAAGAATTAGGTAAAGGATAAGATATCCTTAAAAAAACAGGAAGAAAAAACACAATAATTGAAAGGAATTAAATCAACCTACAAAGCTACAAGCATGGGCATCTCTATGCAAATCATAAAATAAAAACTTGCTTCGAAAGTCAAGTGCACAATAAATTATGTAAAGTAAACAACATCCAATATCTTACATCCTTAACCCCTTTTCTTCTGAAACATTTAAAATGGAGAAATTTATCTTACTCAAAACAAGCACAAATAATATTTATCAACTAATGTTCACCACATTAAATAAATTACATTACATTAGTAAACACACCAAATAATGAAATGTACAAAAAGTTGTCTTGTAACTTAGGTATTTGTTTTGTAATATTCTCCTTGTATTATACTTTAATGTATCAAACACATCCACAAATACAAAGGACAATATAGAACTTATGAACATGAATGTCATCACATCATACAAGGACTTAAGACTTAAAATAATGTAAAAAAGAATCTAAGAGATTTATTATCTCTCAACTAATCTTTGTCATTAATAGAAGAAAATTACATCAACAACACCCATAAGTACAAGAAAAAGGCTATATCTAGGTAATTATAAGCACAAAGCTTAGAACAAATAAATTCAATCTAGGATTTTGTTAACATCAACAAGTTGATCATTGGATCTGAAACACTCAATACAAATTTCCTTGGACAACGTTTTATGGAAAAAATGAGAATCAAGTTTTGTGTTTAGTTCCCTCATGAAACACTGGATTGGAAGCAATGTGGAGAAAAACTTGGTTAACACAATATATTAGGATATAGGGTATTTGGATATAATCGGAAAGGGGATTAGGATAGAAGGCAGAGGAATTGTATAAATAGATTGATTGGATAGTTAGACGACAGTTTTTGAGTACATTGATTGTAGACAGGTTATGACCTGTGAAGAGGGTTAAGCCTCTGAATTCTTTCTGTACAGACACTCTTACTGGAAATAATATTTTGTTTTCTCTCTTTCTTGTGTCTTCTTGGTGAGTGAGAGAGTCTTTGATTAGGTTTCCAGTTCAGGAACCTATCACAATACATCTTCATTTGTTGGATCTCACAATTTTAATTCTTGAAGAAATTGTTTCACCCATACAAGTTCATGAGTGAGAGATGTCATTGTCCTATATACAGGTTCAGCACTAGATCAGAAAACCACATTTTATTTCTTGCTTTTCCATGAAACAATATTTCCTCCAGTGAGAACACAATACCTTCTAGTGGAGTGTCTATCCATAAGAGGTTCCACCCAACCAGCATCACAATACCCAAAAATTTGGGTATTCCCTTTATCTGCATAAAACAGACCTTGTCTTGGAACCTTTCTAAGGTATCTTAAGATGTGGGTGATAGCATTTCAATGATCAATACAAGGATCTTTTAACTAACAACACCCAAAGCAAAAGATAGATTAGGTCTTGTAATAGTGTGATAAATAAGTTTCCTAACTGGTCTTCTATATCTCTAAAGGCTGAGAGAGGTTTACCTTGATTTGCCATTAATTTTATATTTGGACCCTTGAGGTTATCTATTGGTCTAGATCTAGTCATGCTTGTTTCTTCCAAGATATCTAAAGCATCTTTCCTTTGAGAAACTACAATGCCTCCCTTTGCTTGAGCCCCTTCAATGCCTAAAAATTATGAGACTTTTAATCCAAAAGTGATGACATAAGTGTTCCTTTAGTTGTGACATTCTAGTAACACCATTTCCTATGATAATTATGTCATCAACATAGAGAATTAAGTAAACACATTTTCCGAACAAAGTATGACAGTAAAAAATTGGATAATGTGCCTCACTGTGTTTCATTCCAAAAGTTTGAACAATGAGACTAATTTTCCAAACCAAGCATGACGAGATTACTTGAAATCATAGACTAATTTTTGCCTTATGGCTACCACTCCCACATTTTTTTTCTTCTTTTATACTCAATAACTATTAAGCAACCCAAATAGTCACATTTATTTTCCAGCAGGCTTGTGCATATTTATTTTCAAACAAGCAATCCCAATAGCAACTAAAAGAGGCAATTCAAGAACATCCAACAGAAATGAACCGAGATGGAAGTATTATCATCTATTAGACGACTTGAAAAGGGTTAATTATATGAGGGGAAAAAAGATCTTGATTGTAAAGGGTTAATACAAGAGGATCTATACAGAGAACTCTATCCCCTAGACTAATGATTACAGTGATTTCTAATATCTTACAACACTACACTTGTAATAATTTAATATATCCTTGTAACTCAACAGAATATTTTCTCCTCACCAGTTTGCATGTGAGATTATGAAACCGTTTCATGGTAACCCTTTGTAAACATATCTCATAGCTGAATCCCAAATGGGACTTAAGAACTAATGGTAAGGCCATTATCCAATTTTTCTTTAATGAAGTCTAAGTCTATCTTTATGTGCTTAGTCCTATCATGTTGAATTGGAGTGTAAGCATGCAAACAATGTATTTATTGTAACAATAGAGACTCATACGTTCTTCACTTTTCACTTTAAGATCATTCAAATAATTTTCAACCACAATAATTCACATACCCCATGTGTCATGGCTCAAATTTAGCCTTCCTTGAATCACGAAGTTTCTCCCAAGAACATTCAATATCGTAAAGTAGACCTCATATATGTAGTATACATTGTATAATTTGCATCATTATATAGCTCCATATTTAATTGTCCACTCCTCTTTAACAATAATCCCTTTCCTAGACTTGTCTTCAAATATTGAAGGAATATGACAGGTACCCAGATTTTATTAACACTGTAAAGAACTCCAAGAGAGGTTCTTGGATGATCTTCTTATGAAAACCAGACAGCTTGGTCTATATCTAGTGACTGGTACACACACAAAACCCAGGTCTTTCGAGAGGACTTGTGTTAGGTTACTTTATGAGAGTAACCTAAATTTATGCTCTCTTCTCACTCAAACACTAGAACAACAAAAAAGAAATTATGTATGTATGTATTATTGATTCTGTAATGTATAGAAAATTACAAGTGTAATTTCCCCCCAAGGAAGCCTATCTTCCTCCACTGGCAAATATGCCCAGTCTATACTCAAAATGAAATAACCTAATGAACAGAAATCAAGCAAGACTATTTATAGTGTCGCATTATAATATCTCACTCCCGCGCTCCTTCCTACTGAAACAACCTTTCGGCCTTTAACGGTTAATACCGTTCGGTCTAGTTCTCCTCAGCCTTTCTTCTCCTCTCTGTTTAGCTACCGTTCAGCCCTTACTTCTCTCCTCTTACCGTTCGGCCGTTACTTCTCTCCTCTTACCCGTTCGGCCGTTACTTCTCTCCTCTTACCCGTTCGGCCGTTACTTCTCTCCTCTTACCGTTCGGCCGTTACTTCTCTCCTCTTACCGTTCGGCCTTTACTTCTCTCCTATTTTATTCCTAACATTACTCCACCCCTCAAAATCAACCTTGTCCTCAAGGTTGAAGTCAGGGAATTGTTATTTGACTTAATGCTCCTCTTCCCAGGTGACATCCTCCAATCCACCTTGCTGCCATGGTATTAAGACTTGGGTATCTCCTCCCCTTACTGTTGCTGGTTCCTTGGTTGTAGCACTTTTGAAGGACTTTGCAAATCCATGACAAATTGAAGGAGTAGCCACTTGATAGATGTATTGCAGAAAGGTAAATCCGTACAGTTTGACAATAAGTGAAAAATTTCATTCCCAGTGCATATTCAAAAAGAACTGGAATAAGCCAGTCCCCATGGCCAGTTTACTGTAAATCAAGGCCTGATAAAACATTAGCCTTGCTACCGCTCCAACAACGTACCAGATGATGTCTCCTTGCAGGCAGTGTGCATGGACTCTCTCTCCACAGAATTAACTTGATCATTTTCAAAACATATAAACCTTGAGTCGTCCTTCAAAGCATTTTGTCTTATACGTTTTGTAGTCGTTCTTACATATGATCTGTTAAACTTAGCCTTAAATTGGTCATCTACAGCTACGATCCTTCTTCTATTATTCAAATCATGATATGCTCCTTTTTGGCAATGCTGTTGTAATTTCTCCACTTCTTCAGAAAGAGTTTCATTTTTGTGGCTTTCCTTCCTCAAAAGCATCTGATAGTCCGCTAACTAGTTGTCTTTGGCAGCCTTTAGCGAAGCGAGCTCGACTTTCAAATCATTGACTTGTCCAAGAAGCTTTTCCTTCTCGGTCTTCAAGTGCTCTATTACCTCTTCTGCAGCGGACAAGCAGTTGATGAATTTAAGTTGTTGTTCTTCGTTAAGGTGTTCCAAATCAGATAGTTTCTTAGTCTTGACTTCGCTGTACTTTTCATGGAGTTTCGTGTACAACACCTCCATTGCACGCACAAACTGCATTGAGTTAATTTGAATTTGAAGTCCATCTTCCTTCAATGTGATTCGATGGTCTATTTTCCTCTCAGACGGCAACCCCTGGGGTTCTTGAAACCCCCCCTCGACTAGCAAATATGCCCAGTCTATACTCAAAATGAAATGACCTAATGAACAGAAATCAAGGAAGACTATTTATAGTGTCGCATTATAATATCACTCCCGCGCTCCTTCCTACTAAAACAACAATTCGGCCTTTAACGGTTAATACCGTTTGGTCTAGTTCTCCTAAGCCTTTCTTCTCCTCAGCCTTTCTTCTCCTCTCCGTTTAGTTATCGTTCAGCCCTTACTTCTCTCCTCTTACCGTTCGGCCCTTACTTCTCTCCTCTTACCCGTTCGGCCGTTACTTCTCTCCTCTTACCGTTTGGCCTTTACTTCTCTCCTATTTTATTCCTAACAACTTGTCTCTCCCTTCCTTTCACTTACAATTTTCTCCAAAAAAACTACGGAAAATAACCCTTGTATAGACTATATATAATAGTCTGTTTAGAACAACACACCTCACAGACAATTATAATTGTCTGTTACCCTCATTCCTTCTAACATATACTTCCCGCTGAACCTACCAGATTATGTTCACAGTGTATGAATGTCACTCCCTTGGGTCGTGCATGAACTCACAAACTACACTCACAACATAAGAATGTTAGATCTGGTGTGGGCTAACTAAACAAGCTTCCACACGACTCCTTCAGGTTGGCCCTCATTCATTGTATAACTATCGTCATCACTTTTAATTATATGATTTTGTTATATGGGAACTCTAGGGGCCTTGCAACCAATCTTACTTGCAAAATCATGTCATCCACATAGACCAAGAGTAGAGTAAGTTTTCCTTCTAAGAAATGCTTGATGAATTGGGTAAGGTTATCTTGACTTTGTTGATTACCATAGGAGATCATAGCTTGAGTAAGTTTATCAAACCAAGCATAAGGCGACTCCTACAGTTCTGCAAAGTTTTCCTTAACTTGCACACTTTATTCCCTTCTTCAATAGATCCAAAAACTAGAGGAATTTCCATGTAAACTTCTTCCTTTAGATGTTTATGCAAGAAATCAATTTTTACATCAAATCATTGCAACTCTCAACCAAAATAAGCTACAAATAAGAGAATGATCCTCATAATCAACATCATAGGTTCGACATACCTCTTAACAACTAACCTCGCTTTCCTAAAAATTCAATGAGCCCTCAAATCTGTACTTTACATTATAAATATGTCCACATCCTACTACTTTTCTATCTTGGCTAATTTCACAATTATTTTTTAAGGAATCTTCAAAAAAGTTTCTAAAGCAACAAAAGTATAAACACTTACCCTTGACTCAGACGATTGGAGTTGTCCTTGGATCAAGTTAGGTTGTTTCTATCTCATCTAACATTCTATCCCATCTCACTTAGGAACAAAGTTACCCTTATCAAGAGTAGCATCAGAAGAGTGCATGTGAGATATGTCAAGAGATGTACCAAGAGTACCAAGAGTAGCATCAGTATAGAATGGTTCTTGTGCCAAAGGGATAAAGGACAACTCAAGAAGACTTGGCATTTGTAGAAGTCTCCCATTGAAGCTGAGGATGCATGTAAAAAGGTTTGATTTCATGAAAAGTGACGATAATAGACATAAAAAGCTTTCTACTTTAAGAATGTAACAACAATATCCCTTTCTATTAGAGGTATAACCAATGAACATACATTAAGCAACTCATCTAATTTCTCATAAAACTCATTCCGAACATGGACAAATGTAACACACCGAAAAGCCCTTCGGTGGAGCCTAGATAGAAAAGGAACATATTGCCAAGAAAGAAAAAATATATTTAATAGGACTAAGTCCACCTAGAACATGAGACGATAATTGGGTGATAATTTAGACAATAGTGAGGAAAACCAGTCCCCAATTATATTTAGGGATAAACATTTGAAAGAAAAGGTTTCAAAAGTCAGGAATGTCATTTTGTTGTGGTGCATACACACATGTGAACTCATAAACAATGTTTCGAAAAGGAATTTAAATACATCATAGGTTACATATTCCCTCCATTATTAGAATGTAAACATTTACTTGACTTTCCAAATTGTGTTTATCATGCAAAATAATTTACAAATATAACAAAAACTTCAAAATTTTCTTTCATGAGAAAAATCCATGTGGCACAAGTATAATTATCAATAAAAGTGGCAAACTATTTCCCGCTAAATATTATAGAATTTTATGCAAAACCCCCATACAACATAATGAACCAAATCAAAAGGATCTTTTTGTATTACTAGGAGGATATGAGGCTCAATGATGCTTTGCAAATTGACATACATGAATGACTCAACAAACTCTTTGGAAAATAAAGCAACATAACGATGGATGTCTTAGACTTCGAAGGAGAAGCTAAATTTGAGAGGACTAAAACATAATGCAAGATTGGAGACACAAGAAAGTCATTTGTATGTTGATATTATCCTTGGTATCCAAGTTCTTAAGACAATATAACCCTACTTGTTCCTTGGCAATTTCAATCGTCCTACTCATGGCAAAATCTTGAAAAACATTGTGAGAACAAGAGAAAGAAGGTTCTAAAACAGTTTCACTCATAAGTTTTGAACTGCCAGAAGGTTATTAGAAAGATTTGGAACATGAAGTACATCTTTAAGGACAATGGCAGACATGGCAGCAACTGAGGCAGCAGAAACAAACACCCCAAGATTAGGAGTTTTGCTACCAGCTTGAATAATGAGGGAATAAAGAAATATAATATTAATAACAATCATGCTAATTACATTCTCAACTCTATTTGTAATAATCACATTCTATTGAAAAAGGAAATAAAATCTAGTGAAATGAATGTGAAGATTCTAAGGTTATTGTTTCCAAATTACTAAAGAGATTTTTTAGAATATTCTTTTCCTAATGATCCCCTGTTTATTACACAAAACCAATCAACAAATACAAAAACTCGTACAGAAAACAGGTTCTGAAGCGTTTCATACCAAAAGCATGTGGTAATTGGTGAAGAAATGCATCCCCCAACATAGCTCCTGCCTGCAAAAGACATGGTCAATGACAATGAAATGAAGCAGAAAAAAAAATATTTTAACAAAGTTATTGACAGAAGGTAATTTAGTAACTTTTCCTAGTTAGCATTGTGCTGGCACTCACAATTTCCTAACCATATAAAAGTATACAATATCATGACAAGGAAATAAGGAAGAATAATACCAAAGATAACCAGAAACAAAAAAAAATGCCATTAGCGATTTTTTCAAGAATTTAAACACAAAAACCATGAGATGTGCTATAGCATGAAATAAGATATTCCAATTTTTAAATATACATAAAACTACATCAAACCAACCACATATCATGCATTTAGAACGAAGAGTACCATAGATGAAATGTCATCAACAACACATGAGAGAAAGATGTGCAGTAAACACAGAAAACACACACTAAGATGTCCTTTAAAATAGTAGGCATGTATATAAGAATTAATGAACTAAGTGAAATAGGAATGTAAACGTTATGGAGAATACTTGAGGATGATTAGATTTGTTTCTTATAGAATGAATTTGGGCTGGATGCACTTAATGCAAACATAATTATTAGATATTTGCTTTGGAAACAAGTAATCATTGTCATTGTTGTGAAAAGGAAGAAAAAAGCAAATGGTTCATAATTGCTAGAAGCACAAAGACTGGTATTTTTTCCTCAAATTGCTAATAAGCCCATTATTTGGAGAATGTAAGGAGGAATGAGAGAGTGAGGTAATGATGACCTGGCTAGGGAGACTGACGCACACATTGTATGTGGGACCAAATAGTTGGAAAGGTTATATTAGGGAATGCAAGGAGAGAGAGGCATCCAGTCCTTTATTTGGAGTTGGTTATGGATGGAGAGAAATAGCTCTCTTTAGAAGCTTTGCGCTACAAAGAGGAATTTTTTTCCTGCACTTTCCCTTCTGCCTTTTGATCCAATAATACAGTATTACCATATTTCTTATGTTCTATGTTCCTTTTTTTGATTTGGCTTGCCATCAATAACCCAATTACAGTCCTAGTTTCATGTGGTGAAGTAACCAGGATTCAAAGTTCCAGCTCCAGTCATATCGATCACAGAAATAACATAATGAATAGTGTCAATGCAGAATTCAGGAAAATAATTTTCACTGGGCACAACTTAAAGGAGCTTTCTAGAATAATGACAACTTTTAGGGACTACTTTAATAGATAAAATAAGAAACAAACAGCAATCAGAAAAGAAAAGGAAAAGTAGCACAGATCAAGCTAACTAGTTATCCTCTTATAGTAAAATTGAAGCTTGTCAGCCATTTTATTTGTTCAGTGACAGTCAAAGAAAGGCAGATCCAGCTAGCCAAAGCTTGTCAGCCCTTTTGTATGCTCAATGAAAGAACTATGTAGAGAGAATTGGAGATATTAAGGTCCCTTGGTCGATTGGCTAGTAGCTATCTTTATTTCTTTCCATAGATTGTCATTTTTTTTTTTGTTAACCTGAATTGCTGATACTGACTTCAGTTAGAAGTATAAATATACATCGTATACAGTTTTTTCTTTCTTAGATCTGATCCAGTTTCAATCAATTTAAAAAGTAGACAGTAGACACTTAACTGAAGAGAATTGATAAACATAGTGAAAGAAAAGTAATAAAAGAGAACTCAAGATAGTGAAACCAAAGAAAGAGGTAGAAGAAACCTGACCCCAAATAAAGCCAATGAATCAACAACAGCCTTTGATGGTTTCCCTTGTACTGAAATAGATGAATGATTCAGACCATTCAGTTTTGTTTACTGTACATAATAAGCCTTTCATATTGAGAAATAAATAATTTATACTTGTACCAAATGAAAAATAAAAAATCTCCTTACCAAAAATTACAGGAAGGACAATGAGGCATGTAAGAGAAGCCATGCTCACCAGAAATGAACAGCCCAATGCATTCAACCATAGGCCTACAACAAAAACAAATGAACTACATAAACATCAAATTCGAAACAATCTGAATATCCAACCTTCCAGAAAACCATGAATGGGACTTTTATTTTCCTGTTACTGAGATGAAAAGTTAGCTAAAAGAAGGCTGCTTGTAATAGACAGAACTATGCACAATCTAATGGAGGAGAGGAGCATTCAACTTCAATGTGTATTGAAAAAGTGTATGCGTCTCAAGTTGAACTGATCCAATTGCACTTCAGTCGGACAAGTGAAACCATAACGATCTGCTATAACAGAACTGAGATAAACAGACAGTTTTCCACTAATTGGAGGTCAGCTAGTAGTTCCTCATCCCATAAAGTCATTTCTCACTGAATAACCACGCGATACAACATAAATTAACAAAAAAAAAAATCAAAGTTTCGTAGGGAAATATCTACCGCCAAAGAAATTAACTTGGTGACTTTTATACATGTTATTTAAGTATCTGCGGTACATTTGTTGAATCCCAATTGCATCATTTTAATTAAAAAAATTATCCTAAGTTACACTAAGCACAGGCTTCATCATTTCAACATTACAATGACAACAAAGCATTCTACATCAGTCTATAAACCCTCTACACACTCTGCACGTAAAAGCTACATCACCTAGGACAACATCTCCCCTCAAAGCTTCTACAGATCTAATTCTCTTAATCTGGCAATCAAATAGTCACACCGACCTACTTCACACGAGTGCATTCGAAATTACGAATGTTGAAATCATCAAATAGGGCTTATCGCACAGTAGAAAACACAAAAGAAAAAAAAAAACAACGGAAGGGTGAGAAAGACGTGAGTGAAAATCCGTAAACATACCCAAACCCGATAGTTCTGAAGTATCGTGATGGTCATGTTCATGCGGAAAGCCGAAGCCGTATAGCTTCATATCCTCCTCCTCTGCTAACTCTTCGGGAAGCTTGGACCTGCCATCAATCTTGTCCTTAAGGTCATGCGCATGGTGATGGTCATGGTCATGGTCATGGTGATGGTGCTCTTCACAGTGATGATGGGCATCGGATCCACAGAAACCAGAATGGGAATGGGAATGAGACTGATGCGCTATTCCCAGATCCAAACACGATAGAAGAGCCAAACAGAGGAAAAGGAATGCCAAATAATCCACACTCTTCTTACCCAATGCCATGGAATCGGAAAGAATTGAAGAAGAGAAAGTAAGTATAGAGTTGAATTAGGAGCGAGACTTGCAAGTGCCTTCGATTGTGATGAAGCAAACAATGACTAAGAAAAGGATTATAATGCCCACTATGATTCCGAACGTTACGACATCCATATTTAGAGTGTGTGCTACCAATCTAACATTTTCTTTTTCTTTTCAAAATTTTAAGCATTAATTTCAGGTTACCTTCCCTTCCCTATTCAGGTTAAGCCTGCAGGGGCAACATGGCATCGGTGCACCCTAGACTGCCCCTGTCTTTATTTATTTTCTAACAACTTTTTATAACAATTTTTTTTTTACAATAAAATATGTGTTATTATTTACTGCATAAATTTATTTTTAAAAAAATATTTAAAATAAACTAATCACACACTATTACGTTTACACCGTTATGTAAACTTGGTAAAAAAAAAGTCGTTAAAAAAATATTTTTCTTATTTTTTACTGTCTTGTGCATTTGCTATTTGTTACAAGTTACCTTCTAAAAGATTTAAATGGTATTTTTAGAACATAATTTATACTTTCATATGGGTAAAATAGGTAAATCAGTATTTTTTATCTTAAAAATTGTAAAACATTAACTGACTTGTCTATTTCCTTTTGCCACGTAATTCAGTTTATGATTCTTATATGATTTTAAAGTATGTGAGTCTAAGTAAATAAAAGTATGGTCCATAATGTAACGTATGACTAGTCATACGATAGTATCATATGTCTCTTCGTATTAAGAATATTAACTACATATGATCATACTAATAATTATATATCAACTACAAATTCATAAAATTGCTTCTTGGTTTTCGCTTAGTCTTATTTATGGTACATGCAACATAATATGCTCTTATACCAAATATAATTATAAACAATTCAAAACTGGTTAAATATGAAAGAAAGGATAATTGAAATATGTATTAAAAAATTTATAATCTTTAGGAAATTTAAATTTTGATGTCATAAAAAGAAGAGGTTGTAAACATCGATGATTAATCAAACACAGTTTTTATATAACTTTTACTTTTACTATTAAATATATTTTCGCAAACCTTTGAAAAAAGAAATCATTTTCTTTAATATGTAATTTAAATAGTGAAAGAAAGATGATGATTTATGCTTTAGATTTTTCATTGGTTCATTAATAGACTAAACTACATCTAATCTCAACTTGATTAAGTTTTATTATACAAACTCACACTTTAAGAAGCAAACTAAATATTCTTTGAACATAAAAGCATTTTCATTAACATTGTTATTTTGATCAATAGTTACTCTTACCTAAACATTAGGTATTGTTTGAAACAACAACTTTGGACTAGGTCATTTTTACAAATAAAGTGATCAATATATCATTAAGGAACTAAATAAAAGATAGTTTACGTCTCTAGATAAAATCAAACAAATTGCCCAAAGCTAAAATGCAAGATTGTTTTCACTTAAAGATTAGTATGTGTGTTAAAGTATATGTTTTTTAGTTATGTATGTGGGGCCCACAAAGAATTTTTTGTTGTAGGCTCATGTGCTAGGTTGATTGAATCTTGATAACAGATTCTTATAATTGCACCCTGTCGAACCCGGGATCGCGACGAGACGGCGAGCCAAAAAACAAATGGGTTTGAGAAATAAGATTTGTGGAGTCGCCACCATAATTTATTATGGAAAAACTATGAAAAACCATAAAATAAGACATGGTCTACGAAAAGAGATTTTCAGGTTCGGGAATCGGTTACGCGTAAGGAAGGTATTAGCACCCTATCGCGCCTGCCTAAATGTATAAAGTTGACGTGGTTTTCAAAATGTTTAAATTTCCCTAAAAAATAAATAAATAAATAAAGCTATTAAGAAACAAAAAAGTATTTTTTGTTTTATGAATCCGACAAGAATTGACCTTGGTCCTACGTACATACATTTATAATGGACAAACAGGGATCACGTAGTTCTTTATGTAGAAAAAGGTTTGTGAGTTTGTTAAAAATTATTATTAATTGATTTAGATTTTTGAAAAGTGAATCCGAAAAAGATTTGGTTTAACAAAATTGACATCTTTTTTGGTTTTGAAGATTTTGCATTTTTTATTTATTTAAAAATGGTGGGAAAAAGAAAGAAAGCGGCCGTAAGCCGACACATACTTATAAAAAAAATTATGATTCTAAAGAAAATAATATTTGTGTGTAAGAAAAAAAACAAACCTTTAGAAAAAAACCTCAGAGTGTACAATAAGAAGAGAAAAAAGAGGTGACATATCTTTTAGGTTTCAGTATTCTGCCAGTTCTCCCTTGATAATCTCTTGGCAGAGTTCCTCCAACCTGAGAGCTTACTTTTCTCTATATTCTTCAGTACTCATGCTATCTCTATAATTTCAAAATATTTCTCCCTCCCTCTTTCTTTCTCTCTCTTTCTTTTCTATATAACAGAGTGCGTATTTATATACACACATTATAATATTGTGGAAATCTTGTCTTAATTGTGAATTAATTGACAATAAAACAAAATATGGAAAGAAATAGTCATTTGCTAGACAACAAATTAAATAATATTCAAAACATTGATTATCATTATTGTCAGAAAATCATATTTTCCTCATGCAACAAATTATATTAATATACTATTTTAATTATTGTTTATAATTATTAGCATAATATTAATTCAAATTATTACCATATTAAACTAACATTTCAAAAATATAAGTCATTATTTTATCCCTTTTTACCCACCATTAATTATTATTATCTTATTTTTTATTATTTTTTAAATATTTACT